GTTTTTACTTCATTGAAAGAGAAATTGTATACAGCTCATATTCTAGCATTACTTAACTTGACAAAACTTCTGAGGTTGAATGTGATGTCTCATGTATAGGTATTGGTGCAGTACTAATATAGGAAGGGCATCCAATTGCTTATTTTAGTAAGAAGCTTAATGGAGTGCCACTAAACTATTCTACCTATGATAAGGAGTTATACGCCTTGGTTAGAACTTTGGAAGTGTGGTAACATTATCTCTTGTCAAAGGAGTTTGTGATACATATAGATTATAAATCCTTAAAACACTTAAAGGGACAAGGTAAACTCAATCGCATACATGGTAAATGGGCGGAGTTCATCGAATTTTTTTCCTATGTAATCAAATGCAAGCAAGGTAATGATAATATTGTGGCAGATACTTTATCATGAAGGTACGTTTTACTTTCAACTCTTAGTTCTAAGTTGTTGGGTTTTGAGTATATTAAAGAATTGTATGTTGAAGATAAAGATTTTGTAAATGTTTATAAGGCTTGTGAAAATTATGCATTCCAAAATTTTTGTATACATGATGTGTTTCTACTTAAAGATGGAAAATTATGTGTACTTGTAAGTTCATTAAGGGAATTGTTAGTACGTGAGTCACATAGTTAAGGACTTATGGAGTACTTTAGGATAGCCAAGACCTTAAACATCTTACAGGAGCACTTTTACAAGCCTAACATGCGCAAAGATGTGGATAAAGTTTGTGAAATATGCATTGCATATAGGCAAGAAAAATCTCGATCTTTACCTCATGAATTGTATGCTCATCTACTCATTTCGTCTGCACCTTGGACTAATATTTCTATGGACTTTATTTTAAACTTGTCAAGGTCTAGACGAGAAAGTGATAACGTATTTGTTGTGGTAGATATATTTAGCAAGATGGCACACTTCATAATGTGTCATAAAATAGACGACACAACAAATATAGTAAAATTATTCTTTAAAGATGTCATACGTTTATATGGTGTTTCCAACATTATTGTTAGTGATAGGGATGTTGAATTTTTAAGTCACTTTTGGTGTATTTTATGGAATAAGTTAAGAACTAAACTATTATTTTCTACTGTTTGTCACCCATAAAGAGATGGACAAACCAAAGTGGTAAATATGACTTTAGGATCTTTATTATATATTGTTGTTGGGAAGAACTTAAAAACGTGGGAGGATTGTTTACCATTAGTAAAGTTTGCTTATTATAGGAGTATTCACTATTCCATAGGTTTATCACCCTTTAATATTGTGTATGGATTCAATTCACTAAATCCTTTTGACTTAACACCTTTGCCTTTATCGGAACTCACTAATATTGATAGATAGTAAAAGGCAAAATTAGTTGAGACCATACATGAAAAAATAAGACAACACTTGGAGAAAAAAATGAGTCATATGCCCGTAACGCCAATAAAGGAAAGAAACAAGTTATATTTCAACTAGAAGATTGGGTATGGGTACATATGAGGAAAGAAAGATTTCTTAAATAGAGGAAATCAAAATTGGATCCCATGGGAGATGATCATTTCCAGGTCTTAGAATGTATCAATGATAACACCTATAAAATAGATCTTTTAGGTGAGTGTGGTGCTTCTATGACATTCAATATCGCTAACATTTCCTTTTTTTTATATATAACCATATTCAATGACAAGTATTTTTAAAGAAAGAGGAGAAGATGTGAGCATGAACTATGAAAATATTATAATATCAAGTGGGCTCACTACAAAAGGAAGAGTAAAAATATTACAACAAGTTTTTTAACTATTCATCCAATAATGGATCAATGAAGGGAATGAATTTAGATCATTTAAAGAAACCTAAAACAAAAAGAAAATAAATACATTAACCAAGGGGCGTTATGGTACATACACCTCAATCCAAGCGAAAGAGAAAGATCCCATAAGGGATTTTTTCTCCCAAACCTGCCAACAATCTTTTCCCTTAAGAGAGAGTCGACTAAGGGAGGGATTTCATTCATAAACTATATAAAAAATTAAGAGGAGGAAATCAAACCTCATGCCTTAATGGGAGATTGAAATCTCATGAATTTTGGGGAGATTATGGGAGCAATTAATCCTTTCCTAAATTGGTCAAAATCTTTCTTAATTCTTCCCTCAATCATCTTTATAATTAATTAACATCTTTCCCATTTAAAAAATTACATATCATATATACTTTATTTTTATTATAATCCTTTCTGTTCTTAGTATGTTTTTTAGTTAAATTTATATTTAATTTCCTACATAATTTTTTACAATTAATTTAGGAGATTTATTTTTTTTTTGTATTGTACATAATCTACTTTATAAATAACTCTTCAATTTCTAGTTATAACTATTGAAGTTTTAATCAATAAAATTATAAAAGTTTCTTTCAACTAGTAAGTTGTCTTTATCATTCTTATTGAATAAGAAGTTAAATTAATTTATCAAAATATTTGTTATGGCATTTTTTCTATTCTTACTGTTTTAATCTCTTAATGATTTTAATTCTTATCACTCTATTAATAGTGGGTTAAGTAGAAATAATTTTTTTTTTACAAGATTTAAGTGTTTGGTGTCTTAATGAGTATTATGTGAGTTTTAGATTACATTGTTGATCCCGGATTCTACATTATAGTATATAAATATACTAACTACAATGTATTCATATGACTAAATGATGTAACACTAATATCTCACTTTATATATAATATTTTTTAAACAATAGTATGTTTGATAAAAGTAAAATTTTGTCTCACGGGTTTTGGTAAACAACTACTCATATTCAAATAATAATATAACATAATAATTTCTGTAATGTAGTCAGAAAATTATATAATGTACATTAGTTTACACAAAATTTATTTTAATTTTGTTGAAATTGATAAATAATAGCCAATATCATAATAATTACATATATGCAATCTAACTATTAAATAACTGATTATATATTAAACTAATTTTGTTTGTAATGTGGCTTAATAAAAACGTGTATTAATTGTATAATAAATTAATGTTGCTTGATGACGTGCTTTCTCATTCAGCTTTATACATACATACATACATACATACATAAATGTATATATATATATATATATTTATATTAGCGATTTATTGGTTTTTAGAAATAATTAGTGCTTACAATTTTATATGTTGTGCATTTTTTGGTATGAAATTCCCTCTCTTTCCTTCAGGTTTTTAAATGACATTTTAAGATTTTAGAAAATTATTAATAAGATTAGGTGGATATGTTAGGAAGTTAAAACACAATAATCTTATTGCCTATTTTATAAAGAAACTTTAATTTTTCTTTAATATTTATATATTAAAAATAATTACAAAATAATTTATTTAATTATTATATCATTTGAATTTAATCACTAATTTAGTTTTCCATGGCATAATTCTATATTATTTACAAATGAAAACATAAAAAATATTTGTGAACGTATTCAAATTTAATGCGATCTATTATAAATTTTTTTAAATATAAATTTTAATTATTATTTTTTATATTTACTTTATCACATTTTTGTTAACTAGTTATATTTAGATATTTGTACACATATAAATATACATATTATATTTCGGATTTTATTTGATTATTTTAATTATATAGTTGAAAAATAAAAATTTGACAAAATATTTAATAACAGATGAATGTAGATTTAAAAATTGAATCATAAAATATTTGTGCTGTAAGAGTGAATAATATTTTTAATAAATATATTTATTAATTTACATGATTTTTTAATTTTTAATTTAATTTTTTAAAATAAAAATAATATTAAATTAATAATTTAAAAATAATACATATTATTGTATAAAAGATATAAAATTGCTAAATTTAAATAAATATTTTAAATGATTTAAATACTTAGATTTCTATTATTATGTATATATATATATATTTTTTTTGGGTTGAAATTTTAACATTAATTATTAAATTTATGACAATAATAAATCAAAACTAATACCAACTCTCCATCCCGACCCAAACCTCAATGGGTAACTAGAGCTTTTCATACATCACGTGGTTGATAAGCTCAAAACGTCGTCGTTAAAGCAGGAATGCCTCTTCACAGTCCCGTTCCTCGTCTGTGTAACTTTATAATTACATAGAAACTCATATATTTATGGCTTAAGATTAAATATTATAAAAGCGACGACGATTTCCAGAAAAGTAAAATCAATTCCTCTTTTCCAGTCTTTAACCTCTCCTTTACCCTAGCACCGGGATTGCTCTCTACCCTATTCTCTTCTCTCCGATCTTCGGTAACTCTGGTGTCTATCAGAACTCAGAAGGGCCAGATACGGCCAATCAAAAACTCATTTTTGGTAAAGTAGTGGTTTTCTTCTTTTTTCTGCTTTTTTCCCCCCCTCTATATGTAATTAGGATAGGTGCGAAGGGAATTTATTTTGTTTTTTTATGTGCTTTTGCTTTCGAGATTCAAGTATGAAAGGCTTAGTTTGCTTGGAAAATTGGATTTGAGAAGTTTGGTGGGCGAAGATGAGTTCCTTCTCACTTACCAGGAAGAAAACCCCTTTCCAGAAGCACAGGGAGGAGGAGGAAGCCAAGAAAAAGGTAACTTCGATTTTTCTCTACTTTCCAACTGAATAAGCAACCCAAAAGCTTAATTTTCCTGTTTTCAGTGATCTGTTGCCTTCATCGGTTCCTTTGCGTTTCTCTCAATTGAGCTGAAATGTTTCTCTAAGTTAGTTGAACTGAAGTTTGATGCCCCGAGAACATTTTATTGGCACCCTTATTATGCCAACTGTGGTTTTCTTGGGTTGTTGTAGCTGGAGAGATCTGCTTAATAATGACACTTTGTATTTGTCAGAGAGCGGAGGATGAAACTGCTCGTTTATACCAGGAGTTTGTGGAGTCCTTTCAAGGGGATAATGCGCCAGGTTCAAAGACTTTTGTTCGAGGTGGAACCATCAATCCCAATGACAGATACAAGCCTGATTCTGAAGGTCAGCTTTTTGGCTCCGGGAACCTTCAATTTATATTTTCTTTAACTAATAATCTTAATATGATAGTTTCATTTATAAATTTTCATTCATCTTAATTGTTCACACTATCGATTAATAGAGTAATTTTTCTATTATTTTGGGGACACATTAATAAAAGGATGGACCTTTTTTATTCATTCGCGGATGGCAGGTGAAAAGTCCAAAGATGGGGTATCTGTTCCAAAGAAGGGAAGTAGGTAAACAAATGCTTTTAATTAGCCATATTACAATGCTGACGCTCTTTCGATGAAGGCATCATAAATAGGAGAATTACATGATGATGATAATCATTTTCCAGATCTCATCCCACTCTTATTTGGGTCTCAAGATGTTAGAGTTTAGGATAGGAGTTTATTGTTGTTTTTGTCTTTGAGGAACTTAGGACTGTGGATTTTTCATGGTGGTGGTTGAAGTTCAGAAAACTGAAAATATCACTCATCTTCAATCTAAATTTATGTCTGGAGTCATTACTTTTTGTTCTTTTCTTCAGTTTCCATTTACTTAGCATCCTTATGTCAATCAATTTGTTACTTGAGGCTTGGAAGTTTGAGTTAGTGACTCTAGAAATGGGAAGCTGCCTTTTGTTGCTCCCCCCTTTTCATCTAGATATATTTTCCTAGGTCTATCTGCTGTAATTTATTCATGCATAGTTTTCACGACTGTCAAATTTTTATTATTTTGTCCTTTGGACTGTAATGCACTATATATTTTTGTTGACCATGTTGAGTTATATTGATGTCAATTCTATGGCACTATGCACGGTTTAATACTTTTTTATTTGTTTGACCCTATTTAGATTATCCTGTAGTTTATAGTATTATTATTTTTTTTTTGAACTATAAAATGTGAAAAGTATATTAATAACTAATACTAAGGAAGTGCCAACCTGTATACAAAGTATTTACATATCTATTAAAATATCAATGAAGTCTCCTAAATCCTCCATAGAGTATAGAGGATCACCGAATAACAAAAATGTAAGGGTTTAGAATCATCTTCTCCTAATCAAGTCAAAATTATTAACAACGTCTACCTTTTCAAAAGCTCTTCGATTCCCTTCCAGAACACCCAAAAGATGGTCAGCGAAATGAGATCCCCTTGTTTTCTCTTCCCACTAAGACTCTTCCATGCCCATATTTCATTTTTTACCGAGCCAACCATTACCTAATTGATTCTTAAAAGCTTGTGCACTATAGCTCAAAGCTTGTAGTATACCAGACACCAAAGAAGCACATGGTTACAAGTCTTCTCGACCCTTTTATAGAGATAGCATGCACTCACCGTTATCTTGTCTCGTCTCATTAATTTATTTATGGTTAGGATGTACTCCTCTACTAGCCTTTCACGTGAAAAATGATACACATGGCAGAACTTTAACCTTCCAAATCTATCTAAACGGGAACCTTGTGCCCGCATCTTCAAACTTGCTCAAATGCTTATAAGATTTGATTGAGAAGGACCTATAATATTGAGACACTACATAGGATTGTCGTTGCTACCGTCCATGGTCATAAGAGATAAGGTTCTCTGTATTATAACCTGCCATACACCACCCCTCCCCCCCAACTTCCGTGGAGAAATTACTGATTGAGATGTCTTTTTGTTGTATTATGGTAAAAGTCTGAGGGATCCACCTTTCAACAACGGGTCCTCCCACAATCTGACTCTGTCATACCTTGCCTATATTCCACCTAATACATACTTGGAATTTGGCTTGGCCAATACCAATTCTCATTTATAAACCTTTAACATGCAATAATGACATAGCTCTTGTAGACCACCATCTCTCATCTGTACTATTTTGCTACTATAACCATTCACCAAAGCACATCTTCTTTCATAAAGCTCCACAACCACTTGCTCCTGTAAGGTCACATTGATTTCCACCAAGAATCATAACCCCAAACCACTAAGTGATAGTGGCTTCTTGATTTCCTCTAATGGCCACCAAATGGGATCTTCTTTTTT